AAGGGTTTTTTTGGGCAACCTTGGAGAGCAGCCTTAAAGCTCCTTCCACAGTGTGCATCCCTGCCTCCTGGCCCCCAGCCTCCTGGAAGCTGCAGGATCTTCTAAAGCAGAAAAACAGCCACTGCTCTGCTCTGGCTCGTGGCACAGCCTCCCTGCCTGTCCCAGGGTCAGGGGGCAAGCTGCTGTCGTGCCACCGGGCCCCTGTGGTGTGGGGGGGGGGCTGCCCCCCCCCCGGGTGGTGGCAACCCCCAGGCCGCCTGTGGGGGAGGGCAGCCAAGCCTTTGCTACCCCAAGCCTCAGGTGCACAATGCAAGTTCTGCACTGCCTCTTTGGGCTTCCCATGTTCCAGGCCACATTCCCACTGACTCGTGCCACCCCCTGTGACTCCAGGAGCCCCCCACACTGCCCCCAAGCCTGACAGGACCTTCCCTGGCAGCTGCCGGAGTGCAAACGCAGCCATGAGGCTTGGGGCAGCAAGTGCCCAGCTGGCTCCTCCCTTGCAGCCCTTCCTGCAAACCCTACAGCCACACCCTCATCCAGACGCAATCATACATTCCACAAATACCACACACATACACAGCTCCCCACAAACCCCACATCCACCCACCCACTCATAGCCCCCAATACTGCTACACACCCCACGTACTATACAAGATTATGACTACATTTTGAGCTATTATGCAATCACTTCTACATGTCAAGCACAAACACACAAGTATCAGGACAAAAATATATTTTTTAATTAAATTAAAATATAATATTATGGGTATTTAATTTTTAGTACATAATTTGTTTTTTTGTTCCCGGTTCTAAGATAGCAAAAACCCTCTTCTCCGAAGGAGTACTTCCAGGGACTTCCGGTGGCAAGGGTCAGAGGTCAGGGGTGGGACTTCCAGTCCCAAGATGGCGACCAGGAGCAGGGCACCTATCAAGGGGCATGGTTACCCATGTGGCCCTCGACAGCTTGGCAAAACTTGCTAAACGGCTCTCCGCCCAAAATAATTGAGCACCCCTGTTGTAGTGTCTAAGTAAAATTTGAATAAAAGTGAAATAAAGAGTTTTCTCTGAGGAAAGGACGGATTCCTTTATTTGAAAGTTGCTTATTTAAGGAGTCCCATGTATTCAACTGCTTTAAGTGGGTTTTTAAAAGAATCAAGGTAAGTAAGGAGTACTAGTCAATATTGAAGTCAATATTTAATGCATTTATCTGTAACTGGTAGGTCTGGGTCCTTTTATCTTGCACATCACTGAAGTCAGCTTGACTTTGGGCATTAACTTTGGGTACAAAATAAAACCTTCCAAAAATGTAGTTGTATTAATACTTTAGATATATATTTAATTGTAAAATGCTATTTACTATAGTAGTAGAATAATTCAGTTTTCTGTGGTGGGGATTTCATAAGGGAGCTTGTTCTTTATTTTCTTGGAATTGAGTGCAATCTATTTGTTCTTCCCCTTTTCTCTGGTATAGTTCAGAAGCACCATATGAAGGTCAGCATGACAAAATTATACAGCCTGGAGCAATATTGTAAGATTATGCCAATGACACTTAGTGTGTACATAAAATATTCACAAGCAGTTTCCTGGTAAAGAGCAGAAAAGATTTGTATAGTAACAAGACCAGAAATAATTTTCTATCTGTGTTTAATGCCTGGAGTACCTGGTAGGTATTTAGTCCTCATCCTGTGATGGGAGTTGAGGAATGAGCAGCTTATAGGATTGACCCCCGAATTACAAAGTTCCTTCTAAAAATAGAAATTGAGCCACCAATGGGGGGAATAATTAGGGTAATGTCATAGTTTAGGGTTGCAACAGAAACTATTTTTTATTGTACTGCATTAGGGCCTCCAGGTCAGAGCCCCATTGTGCTAGTCAGTGCACAAATGGGTAGCAAAATGACATGTACCTCAATCAACATTTCACACTCATCTGAAAAAAAAACAGCTTAAAAGCCCGGTTAAGGGTTTCTGAAGCCCATCTTATAATTTCTCATATCACACTTATACATTTAAATGTATAATGCCTTCTGAGGCCTTTTTAAAGGCTTTAGAGACTATAAATCATGTCCCATTATTTTATGACAAATCCTGATCCAACTTTTTTTGTCTGATTTGGAGAAAATTCTACGTATCGGTATTTCTGCACAGGCCCTCTTGAAGTCAGTGACTTTAAATACACTTATTCATTCTTGTTTCCCATGCTTCTCATGTCCATTCCTTTTTCTCCTTTTAATTTAATTGTGAATCTTTTCTTGCTAACAAATCTTGATAATATACATTTCATTTTTATGAGGATGTGGATGAGAACAGTCACATGGTTCTATAATGGTATAGCAAAATAATTCTATATGTTGCAAAACATATTGTATGTACTCAACTACCATACACACTTAGGTCTAGAAGAAACAAGAGTTTAACACACACACAGTAATTTCTGACCTTGTTGATGGAAGTCTTTCATTTCATATATCATGGCCCCAGGTAAACATTCAGGTCAAAGTTCAAATGATTTATTCCTATGTTGGCTCTGTTCTTAGAAAAATCCGGTTGTTTTGAAACATTATTTAGCCTTTCTGAAGCTGATGACTATTTACTTAATCTATTTAGAAGGCCCTCATCATTGTAGTGTCTGAGCACTTCCCAAGCATTAAGAAACAGAAATATTGAACATTCCTTTCCAGTCTTAAAAGAAATAACTTTATGATTGTTTCCTGTATGAAACAAGTTGGAATGTAACTTATTGAAGGTAAGCTACTTTAAAAAGATCAATCATAGAGCTGACACAAGTGAGTGGAAAGGCTCCAGTTGTGTCTTATATTGAGCCCTTTGTTCAGAAAATGTTGAGATTTGTGGTCATTCTCGTCACTTGCAGGAATAAGGTTCATAGTCTAGGTCCAATACCTACACTCATGTGCCTCCTGCTATTGGTCAGCAGCATCATTATAATGTTGTTCTAGTCATGAACAGGGAGGTGATTTATATTAAATGAGGCCAATCAAGTGCGGGGCCTTTGAATATAAAGACAGGGACCTTGAACTGGAATCTCTAGTCAGTGAGAAATCAGCATAGAGAGTAGAACTGGTGGGATGAAGCTATTTACATTGACCTGTGCTGCTAGACTGAGAAAGGAAATATTTTCTTAGAAGGTGTCAAACAGATCTGAGGGTTTCCCCTAAGTTCATGCCATCTTTGATTCCATGGAGTCATACATCTTTCAAAATGTCAATTATTTGTAAAGCAGTGTAATTGAGTAGAGTATGATCTCTCCTGAGAGGACACAGACCAGAGGAGAAGATGACGTTTTAAAAATAAATAATTTTAGCTAGCTGCTGTGCCATTTCCTTTGCCTTTCCTTCCTTTATTTTCTTGTCCATTCAGCACATACATGTAGCTACTGTATGGTGTGTCCCCAGTCATATATTTCTCATTGCGTTTTTCTCTTTCTCTCTTTTCCTGCAGCTCTTATGGAGAGTAACTAGTAAGCTGAAATGATGCAAGAAACCCAGAGGGTGAGACTGGATAGTAAATGAGCATACAGTCCAAAAACAAAGGCACTTAAACACTCCCCCACCCCCTGATGTCAGTAAAATCCTATGCTGCATTAACAGAGGCAGTGCATCATAAGGCTGAGAGGTGCCATCACTCCCCATTTGGTACTGATGAAACCTCTCCCAGATTACTGTGTTTGGTTCTTGGTACCTGTGTACCAGAGAGAGGATGTAAGATTATATATATCACTTGATTTCATGGCTAAAGGGGATGATATTGGGCCATTGTTCAAAACTGAAGGAACAGAAATACCAGTGATCCAGAAAAATAATTGCAGGTAGTCAAAGGTGATTTAACTAAAAATAATGTGGTGATAGATGCTTTCTAAATATGTAGGAAAAAAGCAAAGGACAAAATAAATTGGGCATACAGAAAGTCTAGTAGTGACGTGTAAGATTATTTGTCACTATTCTAATGGAAATGGTAGAAGCCCTATTACCTAGGACAGCAGGAACCAAACTTTTTGGCAGACATGCCACAAATTAGCCCTGCAGCCTCCCATTCTCCTTCTCTGCCCCTTCCCCTGCCCAATCTGTTGCTTTGCTTTCTGTCTGACCTGCTGCTTTGTGGGAGCATGTACACATGATGCCTAATTAGCTCTGCAGCAAAGCATCTCCATCTACATACATGGAGCTATTAGGCCAGAGTAAATTAATTAACTTCGCTGTAGTTCAGTGCTGCCCAATACAAGTACCATCCTACGGCACAGTTATTTAGTTCACCACAATACACATATAGATAGTGACTGGGGCTGGCTTGAAGGTGCTACAGTGCAGGGTTGCCTGCTGGCTAGACCCACACTTTAGCACCATCATTCCCCAGCCAGCCCCCCCGCAGCACATTGAATCAGGTCAGAGCTGGCAGGCTGACCCTCAGACCCTCTGCCAGCCAGGGATGTGCTGCCCTCAACATGCTTTGGTCCCAGACATGTGTGTTAATTCTATTGCCCAGGAGCAAAAAACTCTGGTGCAAAGCTGGAGTTTATTCAGGCGTATGAACATCATGTAGATGCATCCTGTTTTCTGCTTTCTGCTGCTGGGCTGCTTGTCCCATCCTTGATCCACACATAGAGCCTGCCTGTGACACTTGTAGCACCTGTGCTGCAGGTTGACCACGTCAATATAAGGGATTAAAAGTTAACCTGACTAGATCACAGGGTACTAATCCTTAAAAATCAAAATATTGGCTGGGTGGGTTTAGTTCTAAGTCTTTTGTGTCTCAATTTTCTCATCTGTCTCATGCATCTTAGTGTCTCACACTTGTTCTTTAGCTCACTTGCTAAATTAGATTCTTATGTATATTTTATGTATGCTAACTCCAGGTACTACTGCATATGCAGTGGTTGTTGTGATTAATCTAAAATGCATACTGTGTGGAAAAATGCAGAACTCCAGTAAGGTAATTCCTTCAAAACAACAAGACCTAAAATAATTTTTCTTCTTTACTGTGCAGAGTGCCCTTCATCTGTCTGGATTCCATTTGGAAGTTACTGCTATGCTTTTTTTCAAGGAACATTAAACAATGTGGAGAGTGTTGAGGATGCCAGGGATTTCTGTAAAAGCAATGGTACTGCAAGCAATCTCTCTTGTTTCTGATGTATTAGTAAAAGATAAAAGTTGTTGCTGCATTTCACAGGTGTAGTGTATTACCTTGGTCTTATTACATAAACTAAAATAGGAAAGTAATTAAACCTCATGCTCCAGAACTTAAGAGTTCTATCCCTTTTGTACCTGTGTGCTTGTCTTCCCTTAAAACAAAGTACTGGTACTTTTCTGCTGTTATCCAATACTGAGTTTCCTGTAACTGATATT